ATTCCCTTAACGCTGAACAGAAAGTCTTTACTGCCAGCTGACGGCTGCATGGGGAACTTTTCAAAACCAAGCAGCCTCAATCCTTACAGTTGTCGTTTATGCTAAAAAACCCCCCTACATCCTGGTTAACAAATTTTCGTTAGCATAAACAGACAGTGAGAAGCAGAGCTGCAGAAGCCAAAAATCGAGGTTAGTACGTTTAGGGCTTTCCTGGATTCTGGAACCATGGACCAGGTATCTGATGGGTTAGGTCTCTGTTTCTGTTTTGCAGGTGTTGGGGTCTATGTGCTGGGCTTTAAGGTCAGAATGGTACCTCTAACATGGTGTCAATTGTGCTAAGGTTTGGAGGTATGTTACATAGCCACTTCAGTATTATACATGCACCATTAGAAGAAATATAATTAAGTTCACTTTTCAAATACTTATAAATTTCAAATATTTGGTTTGGTTTGGTTGTTTTATCAAGACAGGGTCTCATGTAGCCCAGGTATGCCTTAAACTCATCAGGTAGCCAAAACAGCCTATGACGTCCCTACCTCTGTCTCCTGGGTGTTGGGATTACTGGCTTGTGCCACCATGCCTGGCTCAAAAATTCACTATTAAAACCACATTTTCTTTCCAACTTTCACAGATCATTTTCCATCCTCCTTCTTTCCACTTTGCTTAAATGTCTGCAGAACAGTTTATGACCACAGTGTTCCAACTCAGTGAAGTCGTCTGAGCACGGGAGCTGCACATCAGCCCTCGGTGGCTAGCCAGGCTCTCCAGTCCTCACTCGGGAACTTGGATGAGCACAGAGGTCACCTACATGCCTTCAGTCTCGTCTGCCACCTCTGGTGGAGCAGCAGCAAACTCAGGAGCTAGTATGGTCTATTTGTCCTGAAATTCCTTGGTCACAGCCTTTTCTGTAGTGGATTATTCTTCCTTCTCGGGCTCTTCAGGATCTGTGGAGACCAGGCATAACTTCTCACGGGTGCTCACAGGAGATGGTGCCATGCATCTGATATATGCAGGACTTCCGGGGCTAGCATCTACCACACCAGATCCATGGAGCTGCTGCTGTTGCACGAGATGGCAATGTCCACATAGCCCTGGAATCAGTTACCACGAGAAGTTGTAGCTCCGGAAGGCTGTTTGGATTAGGTTAGAAAAAGTCCCAGGGGTGAAACAGCCAACCACTGGAGTGGATCCAGTTGCGGCTGGTATTCCTGGAAGAGATGGTGCTGGCATCAACTGGGTTTTCAATGGTTTCAATGGCAACAATGGCACTGGGCACCAGCGACAGCTTCTCTCGGGTTCTCTTCAGGTTTATGATGTGGTTGCTATCCCTTTTGCTCTTGTGTCTGTACCATTCTACCTCGAAGTCAAGGTTGATGCCACCTAAGTGGGCTCTGGCTACGAGGGAACCAGGTGGCCTCCTTCATCTGCAGAACATCAGGGCTCCAGATACTGGGTGAAAGTTTCCCTTTGAGTTAGGGCAGGACTCAGGAACGACTCTGTGTCACCTCACTGGGCAGCCAGAAAGGGCTAAAGCCACACTGTAAAAGCAGATGATGTGTCTGTCCTTGTGGCACTTGTGATGTATGTGAATAGCTACCTCTGTCTACCACACTTTCTTCTTTTAATTCTGCTCTTCCCTTTGCTAGCAGATAAAGGCCCATGGTGATATCAGTATCTTTCTTTAGCTTACACACATTAACTGAACGCTGTGAGTTGACTTTAGTAGTAACTATTGAATCCTAATAATCTTTCCAACCATCATATTCCAGGGCTGTAGTTCAGTGGCAGTGTGCTTGACTAGCATGCAGGAGGTCCTGAACCCTTGAGTACCATTAAAGCAACAACAGAAAAATGCATTCATGTTCACTGATGCTCTTTCTACCTGACACAGACACACACATCATGAGTATCTGTGCCACAGCGATTGGATAAAAATCAAAGGACAAGTTTCAGGAATTGATCCTTTCCTTCCACCATGTGGTTCCAGGGATGGACCCAAGGCATCAGGCTTGGTAGCAAGCACCCTTTCCACTGAGTTATATCTTGTCAGCTAAAAGCTAGGATGTTTTTGTTTTTAAACACAACCTCACTGTGCAGCCTCGGTTGGCTTGGAGCCCACTATGTAGACCAGCCGGCCTCAAATTCATAGAGATCCACTTGCATCTGTCTCCAGGATGCAGGGGCAGAAGGCTTGTGCACCACGCCTGTCTAAAACAAAACAGATTTGATGCCGGGTGTGGGTACTCCCCTTTAATCCCAGCACTCGGGAGGCAGAGACAGGCAGATCTCTGTGAGTTCGAGGCCAACCTGGCCTACAAAGCAAGTGCCAGGACAGGCTCCAAAGCTACACAGAGAAACCCTGTCTTGAAAAACCAAGGAAAGAGAGAGAGAGAGAGAGAGAGAGAGAGAGAGAGAGAGAGAGAGAGAGAGAGAGAGAGAGAGAGAGAGAGAGAATTAATGACTGCTGCAGCTGCCTTTCTACTCCATCCCACTTCATTACCTCACCTCTCATAAGTTAACCATGGAGTGAGGATGAGGTTCAGCTAGCAGAGTGCTGGATAACACAAAGCCCTGAGTTTGGCCCCTAGCACTGTGCAAACCACAGCAACTGGGTATGTCATGCCCAGTATCCCAGCTTCTGCCTCTTTTAAAAATAATTTGTTTATTTTTATTTTATGTGCATCGGGTGTTTTGACTGCATGACTGTCTGTGTGACAGTGTCAGATCTCAGTGGAACTGGAGTTACAGGCAGCTATGAACCATCATGTGGGTGCTGGGAATTGAACCCAAGTCCTCTGGAAGAGCAGCCAGCACTCTTAACTGCTGAGTCACCTCTCCAGCTCTGCTATTATATACTTTTTAATATTCTCCTTCATGTAAGGTTCTGGCACACGAGGCCCTGGGGTTCACTCAGTTTTTTTTTTTTTTTTTCAAGACAGGGTTTCTCTGTATTGTTTTGGAGGCTGTCCTGGAACTAGCTCTGTAGACCAGGCTGGCCTCGAACTCACAGAGATCCGCCTGCCTCTGCCTCCCGAGTGCTGGGGTGAAAGGCGTGCACCACCAACGCCCTCACTCAGTTTTGCTACACTTTCTTTTTCTGTTTTGGTTTTTGACAGGGTCTTAGCCACCCAAGTGCTGGTGCTTCCGGGTTAGGGATTGAGCCTGCCGCCTTGGATATGCTGGTGCTTCCGGGTTAGGGATTGAGCCTGCCGCCTTGGATATGCTAGGCTAGCCCTCTATTGCTGAGCTATATTCTCAGCTCTTATTCATGCTTGACGGCATTAAAGCTAAATAAGCATGCCATTAGCCTAAGGTTATTTTTGTACCAGAAAGTTCTTCTAACTGATTAATTCTGAATTGAGATAGCCATTCAGGAATAGCCAACCAGTCAATCGGTTATATAACTAGGGAGCTGCCATGTGACCATATCAAATAAAGCAAAGCCTAGCTGTAGCCAGTATCATTACTTCCTTATTCAGCTTATAAAGCTTGTTTGCCAGGCTGTTAGGGCAGTTTGCTGTTTTCTTCTTCAAAAAACCTTTATACAACTTTTTTAATGATTTATTTTTATGTGCATTGGTGTTTTGCCTGCACCTGTGTCTGTGTGAGGGCGTTGGAGCTCCTGGAGTTAGAGACAGTTGTGAGCTGCCTTGTGGGTGCTGGGAATTGAACTGGGGTCTTCTGGAAGAGTAGTCAGTGCTCTTAACCACTGAGCCATCTCTACAGCCTCTTTAAAAATTTTTTTTTGAGACAGGGTTTCTCTGTATTGCTTTGGAGCCTGTCCTGGAACTTGGTCTGGCCTAGAACTCTTTTAATGCCTGAATAAAGTATTGATTTTTCCTGGAGTTTTTCTGTTTGTTTGTTTGGTTTTTTTGAGACAGGGTTTCTCTGTATAGCTTTAGAGCCTATCCTGGCACTCGATCTGTAGACCAGGCTGGCCTGTAACTCAAAGAGATCCACCTGCCTCTGCCTCCCAAGTGCTGGGATTAAAGGTGTGTGCCACCAACGCCCGGCCGGCTCCTGGAGTTTTTCTTAAGTACATTTATCCAGAAATAGGTCTAGGTTAGATATTTGAATGAAGAGATTATTCTGTCATAATAGTTCATCTCCTTAAAACACACCAACTGCTTTTTGTAGATTTGTTGTTAGTCATTGTCACTCTGCAACACAGACTGTCCAGGCAACCATTCTACCTCAGATTTACAGTTGCTAGGATGAAGGTCAGGGTTAGGGTTAGGTCCAATCTAGGACATGTGCAACTGCCCTTCTCTTACAAGCCTCTTTAAAAAAAGATTTGTCTTTATTAGTGTGTGTGTGTGTGTGTGTGTGTGTGTGTGTGTGTGTGTTTGCATGCAGGTGCTCATGTAGGCCAGAAGATGGTGTCAGATCCGCAGGATCGGAAGTTGTGAGCCAACAGCTCCAAGTGATAATCTTCAAGCTACACAATGAGTTCCATGCTAACCTCAACTACATCAGACGGCCCCCACCCTCAGTCTCAAAAAATAAAGGAAAACCTCCAATTGTTGGAAAAAAAACATCAAAGCTCTTGAGGAATTTGGACACCACCTACTCTCTTCCAGCCTTTTCTTTCCATGAGGAAACTCAGGTCTACTAAGGTGAGGTGACGTAATGCTAGCCGAACCAGGCCTCATTCACAGTTCTTTGCAGCACAGGCCACGGCCTCTTGTAAAACACCGCTGTACAGAACTTACCCTGACAGCACCAGGAACTTTCCTGCAGTTGACTTTCTGAGTGACTCTCAAATCAAATTGTTGCAATCCCTAATCAGAGACAGTTAAGAGTGAACCAGAGAGGCAACAACAGGGTTGGAGGCAGACACAGCCGCCACGCCTCCCGCAACGCCACCGCAGCTGCAGCGACGCTAGCGATCACGAGTCTAACACGCCACCGGGAGCGAGCACGCTCGCCCCAGGCCCCTCGAGAGGCGGGAGGCGTGCGTGCCTCCGCACTGGGGGTGTGGCCGGGGCGGGGCCCTGAGCCGGAACGGGGCGGGGCCTCCGAGCTGTAGGTGCTGCTGCCCAGTCGAGACAGGTGCGCTGGACGGAGCGTAGAGATCGTGGCCGTGCAACGCCGAGCACCGACGGCTTTCTAGTCTGGTAAGAGCCTCCTCTCCCCTCATCCCCGGAGCCTGCGTGTGCTCGGAGATCCCAGCTGCACTCCGCACTCTCTCCCCGCCTTTGAGACGGGGTGTAGCAGGAGCGGGAACTTCTCCCCTGGGGGTCTGCAATGGAGGAACCTCCCACCCTGCACTCGCCCTTCTAGGAAGTGCGCCGGGCTGAGCCTTTGCTGCCCCGGGCCCGAGCCTTTTTTCTGCCTCGGCCCATGGTCTCCCATGGGATGGAGGGAAAGTGGCAGTTCAGCAAAAGTCAAAACTCCCTCTCAGGGAGATAATCCAGCAACTCTTTCCTTCTCCCATGCGGCTGTTCCCTCTCCAGTTTTTCTCTCTTCCATTCCTCCAGATGAACTCTGATGTGGACTTAACATAGCAGATCCCTAGTTGCTGTCCTCAAATCGCTCTCATGTACTTGAGCTGGGACCCGTTGCTCACTCAGATCCGTAGGTGTTAATATTAGGTAACTGTACACCCCTGGCCACACACACTAACGCTTGAAGTTGTGGGTGTTAGGAGCGAACCATCTGGCTCCCGTCCTAGCCTCCTTATTGGTGCTCAGAACAATGAGTTTAGCTGATCCTGGTGAGAGATAACCGACCTACTATTATTGTCTTGCAACTAATTTCAGCTTTCAAAAATCGGCCTTATCCAAATGATTCTGTTTTTACAAATTAGCCAAAGGCTCCGAGGTTATCACTTTTTAAGACAGTGCCCCTTGGAGGAGAGATCATCTTTTGCACCTAAGTAGGTAAGTGGAATACTTTTTATCTACATAGTTACTGGTGCAATATACATTCCAGCTAGCATCTACAGAAATCTTTCTGAGTTCTATAGATGAAGTGTGCTCTTGTTTAGACAACCTTTAAAAGGCTTTAAAGTTGACAGAAACGTTTTTCTGTTTTCAAGAAACAACAAATTCTTCTTCCCTCCTCGTCCTTCTGCTTCTTTAAAAAGTTCCTGGCTGGCCTTGAACTGGCTGTATGGACCAAGCTAACAGAGATGTGGCTGCCTCTCAAAAGCTAGAATTAAAAGGCATGCTTCACCATCCGTGTAGATATATATATATATATATATATATATATAAAATCTATCTCCGTGTGTGTGTGTGTGTGTGTGTGTGTGTGTATACCAGCACAGTGTGCCATAGCAGGCATGTGGAGGTCAGCTTATAGGAGTTGGTTCTCTCCACCTTGGGATTTGAAGATCAAACTCAGGTCATCAGTCTTTCGTAGTAAATGTTTTCACATGCTGAGCCATCTTGGCAGCCTAGAAAGGTTTTTTCTTTCTTTCTTTTACTATTTTACATTTATTTGATGCGTGTGTGTGTGTGTGTGTGTGTGTGTGTGTGTGTGTGTGCCATGGCATGTGTGCTATCTATGTGGGTTCCAGGGATTGATCTCAAGGTGTCTGTCAGACTTTGTGGCAAGCACATCCTACCTGATGAGCCATCTTGCCAGCCTAGACAAGGTTACCTCTTTTTAAAGGTCTGCACACACATATATTTCCCTTGATAGAATAACATAACATGGCATTAAATTATATTAGGAATGGGAGGGGAACAAAACTTTTTTTTCCCAGTGAATTTTATGTCAGTTCTTTTGTAGATTCAAAGTTCCAAAGTCCCTACCCTAAAAGAGATGACAATTAAATGGGTTAGGCAACACCACAGATACAACTTACAGTATTGGTGAAATAACTTGCCGTTATTGTTTTGGTATTTCTTCTCTCTTTGCCCCTCACCCCAGGGAAACCCCCAAGTGTGTTGGGTATCAAACCCTGGGGCATGCACATGCTAGAAAAGCATTCCCAACTGCTGCATGTTTTACCACTCATATTTCTTGCCATGTCTTTGGTCAGTCAACTCAGTGGCCTTTTGAAAATGGGATTGGAGCATGTTTAGTTCTCCAGCAATTCAGTAAATAGGTTGGTGGAGCAATTTTTACTGTTAATGTGTTAGATGCAGAAATAGTGTTATCAGGTAGTCCCTGCACCATGGAGTCTCTGAGCTGAGACAGTGTGTTGGCATGGTTAGCCAAGCAGTGCCATTTTATAAAAATTACCTCATTGTGTGACTTTGTTTGACTTGATACATTCAGGCTTTGTTCCCGACTCTAGTTAAAGGTGGAGCCAAGTTTCAACCTAATAATTCTAGGAAGAGAAAGCTTCAGAAATGAAAACAATTCTATCAACAACAGACACTTTTCACTGCTTAGGTACTCTTTAAATGTCTTGTTTTGACTCTGGGTGTAGCTCTGTGGTAGAGTGGGTTTAGCATGTGTGAGAGCCTGTGTCCCATCCCCAGCACATGCACACACAGAATATAAAGTGGATCTTGTCTTAGGTCTGTTAGGGGAAGAGGTTGGAGCCTTTGAGGGTTCTATGGAGAGTTTTGATGATCTGATACCTGGACTTTATGGTAGCCATTGAAGACTCTTGGAGCTGGAGAAATGGCTCAATGGTTAAGAGCCCATTCACTGTAATCAGATGTAGTTCACTTTAAATTTCTATGCCAGAGGCAAATGTTGAGTTGGGAGGTCACTAGGCATCTTCACTGAAAATGACTACTTTACCACAAATTGGAGGTAAAAAAAAGTCATTAAGTTGAAAGTGAAACTGTTTTCCAAGATCTCCCTTTTGTTTTAGGTTACATTTATTTATTTTGTTTATTTTAGTGTGTGCATGTGTGTCTGTGGGGGAGGGCACATGCATGCCATGGCATGCCCGTGGATATCAAAGGACAACGTTGTCCACAACGTAGGTCCTGAGGACTGAACTTAGGTTGTCAGGCCTTCTTACGGCAGGTGCCTTTCCCTGCCGAGCCAGTTTCCTGGGCCCCAGTTTCCAGGCATTCCTCACTGCATATTACTACATGAGAGACGACATCCATTTAAATGAAATTTGCTCATTCTACACATAGAAAATGCTTAACTTTGTCCCTAAGATAATTTATGCAAGAAGAGACTAGTTTTTAGAAGGTCGCTGTATTCTTTAACTGTGGGTTTTTTTTTTTGTTGTTGTTTTTTACAGGAAGATAAAGCATTCCATTGTAGGCTGAACACAGTGGCCTCATGATGTGGTTCAGTCACTTAACACAGACTCTCCAGGTGTTTAGTAACAAATTAGTGGCTTTAAGTAGTCTCTGCTTATTATCTGGGAGTTGAGGTTCTTGGTAAACGGTACTTTCAGCAGATCCTTCTGATGTGTTTACTCTGTGGCTAGACATAAATGTGTGAGACAGCTTTTAAAAAGATGAATTATCATCTTTCCCTGTGTGTATATGTGGGGGTGGGAGGAGCATGTGCTGTGAATACAGGTGCCCAAAGAGGCCAGCAGCACCAGATCTCCCTGGATCTATAGTACAGGTTTCAAGCTGCCTGATGTGGGGGCACTGGGAACTGATCTTGGATCCTCTTGAAGAGCATACATCTTTTTAACCAATGAGCCATCTCTCCAGCCCCTGAGACTCATTATTGCTTGAGTGAAGACTTCTTTTCACTAAAAGGAGGAGGTCTAACCCAACAAGCAATTGTTAGCCAGTGTGTCAGATAATCTCTTGTCACTTTCAAATGTTTTTAGGGGCTGTTCTGTTCCTAGCATCCACACTGGGTGTCTCACGAGCCCCTGTAACTCCAGTTCCAGACGATCGGCTGCCCTCTTCTAGAGGGCATCCACACACAAATGGCATGAACTACAATAGACACATTCACATAAATAAGAGCTAATGAAAACAATTTTTAAAAAAGATTTATTTATTACTTATACAGTGTTCTCCCTGCATGTATGCCTGCAGGCCAGAAGAGGGCACCAGATCTCATTATAGATGGTTGTGAGCCACCATGTGGTTGCTGGGAATTGAACTCTGGATCTCTGGAAGAGCCGCCAGTGCTCTTAATTGCTGAGCTATCTCTCCACCCCTAAAACATTTTTATTAGAAATTTCATATGTTCACTTATAGCACATTAGTGCAGAAGCATGAGATGTACATCCTTTTCTTTCTTTCTTTTTTTTTTTTTTTTTTAAAGAATTTGTTTGTTTTCCTGAGACAGACTCTCCCTGTGTTGTCCTTACTAGCCTGGAACTCACCATGAAGACCAGGCTGAACTTGAACCCAGTGGTCCTCCTGCCTCTGCCTCCCTGTGCTTGGATTAAAGCAGCAGATCTCAATCTGTGGATCATGACTTCTTTGGGGGTCGAATGACCCTTTTACAGGAGTCACATATCAGATATCCTGCATATTGGGTATTTACATTATAATTCATAACAGGAAAAAATTACAGTTATGAAGTAGCAATGAAAATAATTGTATGGTTGGGGTCACTACACTATGAAACTGTATTAAAGGGTCGCAGTGTTAGGGAGGGTGAGAGCCCCTAAGAAGCTTTCAGCATAGTGCAGGCTGGCTTGGAACTCAGGATCTTCCTGCCTTTTGCCTGGGATGCAGGATTATAATCGTAGTTGGAGAGCTAAGGCAGGGAGGTTACCAGGGGTTCAAGGTAAACCTGAGCTATACAGTGAATTCCAGGCTAGCCTGTGCTACATGAGGAAACCCATCTCAGAAGAACCAAAGGCTGAAGAGGTGGTTCTGTGGTTAAGAGTTCTCACAAAAGGATCTGGTTCCCTTCCTAGTACCCACAGGACAGTTCACAACAGTCAGAAACTGCAGTTCCAGAGCCTCCATCATCCCATCCTGCCTCTGTGGGCACCAGACACATGTGTGGGTGCACTTACATGCAAGCAGAACACTTACCCACATAAAATAAAAATAATATTTTTAAAAAAGAAAGAACAAACAGTAAAGCTGGGCGTGGTGGTATGTGATTATAATCCTAGCACCACAGGGTAGAGGACAGTCAGAGGGAACCAGTCTCTGAAAGGTGTCCCCTGATCCCCACAGGTGGCCTCTGGCACCTCCCCACATCGAACACACAGGCAGTGGTGGAGCACACCTTTAATCCCAGCATTTGGGAGGCAGAACTGTTAGTT